GTTCTACTTTGACTCAGCTACCACTTCTCTATCTAATTTCTATAAAGCACGCTTTCACCTAGCGCTTGATGATAAATGATGCAAAAGTTTTTGAAACATTTTTATTTTGCAAAGGTTTAATTTCTGTTTATTCGTCTGTCTTCTACATGCTACTTATTAACAGTAGCTTTTCTTACATGTGTATGAAAGTTTAGCTTTTTAAGACTTTGTTAACTTATTAAAATTTTTAGATGCTAAACCACATGCATCAAGAATTTTTGGATATTATTCAGTGTAGAGTCTTCATTTTCTAAGTCAAGTTTCTGCGGAAAAATCTTGCTTTTTTGTGCTCTTATTATATGTTTAACTATAAAAATAAAAAACTAGGATATTGATTCAATGAAGAGTACCAGTGTAAGAAACAGTATTATTATTTTATAAAATTTGAATAAATGTTGTATTTGAGTGATTTAATAGATGCCAGACAACCGTAGGCATTTTGCTGAGGAGAATCGTAATCCAAACGTTCATCAGATTATCAGTACTTTTTGTACCTTTGTCAATTCTCAGGTCTTCGCTCCTAGTGTACACTATTGCCTAAACCTTTTTTCATATTTTTTTACCAATATTTTTTAATATCTGATTAGATGCCGATAAAATTACCTTGTCAATTATTGGTTGTGCTCATCCAACGTCAAAACAATAGAAAGTTTAAAGTTTGCTTTTTGCAGTGAAACAAATATTTCTTCTGCTGAGTATAAGAATTTGTTAAACAATAAAAGTTGATAATTTTTTTTGCGTTAAACACATTGAAAATTCACAAATAAGTTATAAACACTGATGGAAAAAATGTTCAAAACAATTATTGTTTTATTTTACTTATTTGTCAAAAAGTTTATGCATTAATTTCTCTGTACTGTTTTTTCCCCGGTGTTAATGATAACAAAAAACTTATATGCTAAAAATAGTCAATCTTAGTGGCTGCAAAAATTGATGTACTAACAGTCTTTATTGAAGTTTAAAGTTCTGTAACATTTAATT